ATTGTTAATTATCATTGTTGAAGTAATTATTCATGTTATCTCTTTACTTGTTGATTTTCATTATTTAAGACTCATTGTTGAATATTATCTTGTTTACTATGAAGTTGGTTTTATCTAATATTGTGGTTATACATTATTTCTCTCATTGTCGAGTTATTTGGTGTTGAAGTTGTGGAAGTCGTTAATACGTTGAGGCGATGTTGGTTATTGTTGAAACATCTATCCTAGTGAGCATTTTCCACCCATTGTTGTTGTTGATATTCTCGTATACAGTGTGTTGGAACCATGGGCTATTGTTGTGGAAACATTGATATTGTTGTTGTTGGCAAGTTGTGATATATGGGCACTTGTGGTACTAATTGTTATTGTGTTATGATGTTGACGCGCATGCGGAGGTATAAGGTTTGGGTTGATGTGCGTGCGGTGGTATAATGTGGGACTTATGTGCGTGATTGCTTGTAGGGGAACTACCTGAAGCCACGCGGCGTCATAAGGTGAGCTAAAGTGCATGTAGCTATTTCGGAAAAACTATTTTCAAAACTTAATTTCAAATATAAGTCTCACACGGTGGTATAAGGAAAGATTGTGATTGAAATTGAGAAAAGTGAATATGAGGCGGTACCTCGATTGTGATTCTTGATTATACGAGGCGGCACTTCGGTTTTGATTTCATTATACACGAGGCAGTACCTCGATGTGATTCTTGTTTATTTCACGTTGCAAGTGTTTTTGGTGGGAAATTTATCTGTTGTTTCATTCCTTATTGTTCTATCAGTTGTTGCCCGTACATGATCATTGTAGACCTTTTCTTTTTAGCAAAATCCACTAGGCAAGGTGCCTAGGGCTGGTTTTTATATATATCTCAAAAATAAAAACAAACCAAAATTTCAGGGGGTCTTACAAGATGAAAGTAGTAAACTTTGACGAATACATTGCCCTTATTACCAATGTTGAGCAAGGTACTCAACAATAATATTACAAAATGCAATCTATTAAAGCAAATAAATGGGATAAAAACCATCCATTCAGCTTTGTGTATGTATGTCACATGGTCATCCACATATTGCATAACATGCTCTACTGCCTTGGTAATTCTTTGATGTGTTATCAGCACATGTTGTGTCTTGTTCCATTTCATAATACAAACACATCCCAGTGTTACCTTCTCTTGATGCCCAATGTCATGGAGAGTATCTGTCATGCCCCGAACCTGGGGGCGAGACCGGCACCCGGTGCCTCACCTATACTTACGTGCCAACTTGCAACTAAGGGATTCTGAACATATAATGTCATACTTTGGCTATGGGCCACATTGCAAGACAATTTGCGAACATTGACTAAACATCATTATCAATCTGGGCCGACAAGGCCGTCATAACTACTATAGCTAGCAAACCAACAAAATATACATACAAGGACTACAAGCCCAACACACTGCACTAACTAACAAGATATGTCTACAAGCCTCTACTGATGGATGTACTGTGATCGGAACAGGGCCTCGACCTATCCATAACATATATATACATATATACACAAGATGTACATAAAACTCCAGACCCGGCAACTACGAAAGATATGGAGCTTACCGATCAAGCTGAACTCGAGCAACACATACTGAGGAGGTCTACCCGTTTATCTGTCTGAACCTGCACACATGAAATGCAGCATCCCCGGCAAAAGGGACGTCAGTACGAAATAATGTACCGAGTATATAAGGCAACAAAATAATTGAAAGCTGAAACTGAATTGGTAATATAATAACTGAAGGTAACTGGGAGTCAAAGATAATCTGAAGATATACTTACCTGCTGATACCGACTCAACTCTCTCAATATAGTAAGTAAAATAAATGTCCGGCTTTATAAGGCTCGGTATATATATAACTGCTCTGCCATAGTAGGCTCGCTCATAGGAGCTCGGCCAGACTAGGCTCTGTATCTCGACCAACTGGGCTCGCTCATAGGCGCTCGGCCACAGCAGGCTCGGTATATAACTTACCATCTGCTCAGAGGTTGCCCAATAGGGGCCTGCCCATCAATTATAGCTCGATGGTAATGAAAATATTATAATACTGTATATATAGGCTCTCTTCTCTCTTGACTGGAAGAAGACAATACACAATTAAATATGAAGTCCCGATAAGGAGAATACTGTAATTTATGAGACTAGGATAATGTATATAAATTCGGAAGTATGAACTTCTCTTTATGCCTCTTTATCAAACACATATAATTACGAGATCATGCCAAAATGAAGGAAGGTTTAGCCTTAACATACCTGAGCTGATTCTTTTGACAATCCTTTTAACACCCGTTGATTGTGACAACACGTAATGGCAGATCGAAGTAGGGAAAAATCCATATGATATTCTTGAGAAAGATTGCACCTTACTCCCTTAAAATTACAAATCCCGTTGCTATTACGTAGTATAACTCCGTATTAATTTCTTGGCTGGAGATCCGTCACTTTGTAGATTAGATTAAGCACCTCTCTTTTGTGAAGTAACTCACGTTACTAACATTTTATTTTGCTGAAGCAATGTATATTGCTATGGAGATCATTACTTGGAGATGGGAGGAGGTGAGCATCTCTTATTTTGTGAATTTTTTTATCAAAATCTTACATATCTTTTGTTGAATTTAAGAAGCCTTTTATGGCTTAGTTAAGAGACCCTCTAAAGGTGCCACCTAGCAATTCAATTCAAGAGTCACTAATAGAATAGTGGCTGCCACATTTTGGGCCTTTTAGGCCTTATCCCATAATCATAATTATTTACTAATCTTCTTGATTATCTTATTAATCTCTCACTAACCGATAATTACCCAATTATTCACATAATTAAGAATTGTCTCAAATTACTTAAAATTCTACTCACTTTTAACACACTTTATACACCTTGCTATCATGGTCATGTGGTACCTTGTATAGCACTAGTCCGTAAATATCGGGTATTTTAGCTCGGGCAGTATTCTATCCCAAAATGTCAAACTTCGATAAAATTCATTTTCTTCGATTTGCTTACCCTCTCACCTTCACGAATTTACTCATCACTTGTTTGAAATAACATAATACTTATAATCCCAAAATAATCTCATTCCCGAACTTACGTCGATTAACTTACGACGAAACTTTAACGTACAAAAATACGAAATATAACATCTCATTTTCGAGCTTTTATCAATTTACTTATGGCGTACTTTCACGTACGAAAATATGGGGTGTAATAATATCTATATTATCATAAAGAATAACAAATCCACCCGCATTCCCTATCTCTATTATGGTCCAGCAGTTTTGCACATAGATGCACATGTACTGTTTGGAAAGGATTGCGCGTGCTCTCCAGCAGATATGTAATGAAACCACTGTATGGTTCCATTCATAGTGTGTTATACTAATGTATTGTATTTGGTTTAGATTCCATAATACAACCATTGTTCCCATTTGTGAATACCAACAGTGCTTACCTTTCATGCCTTGGTCGATAAAATGGCTAGGCAGTCTTCTCTTGAAATTCCATTCTTGTGTGTCCCATGTGTGTCTCGTCCATTGAAAACTACTGGTGAGCAGCTTAGGGACAAGGATAGTAGGGTGTATGATGTGAAAATCAAACCTTCTGTACTTGAAGGTCTCTATAGCAATGTTATTCCTTAGTGTCAACAGTACTATCCTTGTTTCTATGCTTGTGCCTATCCTCAAGTCTCTTCCAGAAATACCACCAGCTGAAAGTTTCTCAAGGAATAGGGCATAGTTAGAGTAGCTTCTCCTGCATTATTAGTAGAATTAGTAAAATCACACTCATTCCTCATTATTTCAAGTGTCCAGCAATTGTGCATGAGTATGGGCATGCACTGATTGGTGAGGAAATCGTGTGGACTCCAGCAGTGATCTATCGAAGTATTTGTTTGGCTTGTGTTATAACTCCAGTATTGTGAATCCTTTTCTTGTAACTTCATGGTGAAATTACTGATGCTCAGATGAAGGATTGAAGCACTAGGGTATTGGATGTCACAAGCCATTTTTCGATGACCGTAAGTCGACCCTAGTATACTGGAGTTCCTCCTTGCTTCCATGCTTATTCCTACTACTAATACTCCTTCAAGGGAATGATCACTAAGTGCTAATACCACCCATTGAATTTGTATTAAGTAGTAAGGCATAGATACAGTAACATTTCCTGCAAAAGGACAAACAGAGTTAGTGAAAAACAGAATCATCACCCTCTCCTCTGTACAGATTTGAGGATGATGATCATAGTTGCTTCCTCTTCTTATTACACTCCTATCCTCCATTCCTCCTAATCATTCGCAACCTTCACTCTCAAATAGGGACATTGTAATTTATCATCATTCATCAATCTTCGACCTTGTACCTCTAATTGTGTAAAACAGTCAGCCTCAAAATCACCTCTATCCAAAGCATAATTGGCTAAGTAATCAGCCAGTTTATTACCCTCTCTCATAATATGTGATATCATTATGCTGCATCTTCCCATAATGTCGTTGATCTCTTCTACATGTGTTGCAATTATCCATGGTACAACCCAAATTTCTTCCACCACATTCTTCAATATCATGGAATCAGTTTGGAGTATAAAGTGTGTGTAACCATGTTGCACACAGTACTTTAGTGCTTCTAGCATAGCCACATCTTCAACTTTAGTGTTCGTCCCTTCATATCCTTTCCTTGTGCATGCAGAATATCACCATATTCATCTCTCAATACAAAACCAAAAGAGCTCCTTCCCAGATTTCCCCTTGATGCCCCATCAGTATTCACCTTCACCCAACCTCGTTCCGGTAATTCCCATAAGACCTTCGTTACTTTTAACTTTGGCATGTAAGCTCCATTACATGTAGCAAATCTGGCCATTTATGAGGAACATTTTGTAAACTTTGTTTCCTTAGTCTTACCAGATCTTGTAGTATAGATGAGATCTGGTAAATCACCCTACTTACAGCCACTGCCTCCCCATGTTTATAGTTATTCCTTCTTTTTCAAAGTTCCCACACTATAATCGAAGGTAAATCCTGGAGTATAGGCTTTAATCTAGGTACCACCTGAGCTGCCCAACATTTTAGAATTGTCTGCTGCATCGATAATCCTTCCATATTAATGCCTGCATTTGAGAGAAAGTACTTCCACACTGTCTTAGCTGCATATGATCTAAATAGTACATATGACATTATTTCCTCTGATGGATTAATACAACACCAACACTTGGATGGCATAAAATATCCTAGTCTTCTAAAATAGTCATCAAAAGGTAACTTGGCTTTCCAAAGCTTCCACATGAAGAAAGCCATCTTAAAAGGCAAGCCTCTCACCCATATGTTTTTGTAAGCAACACTAGGATCTCTTCTCCTTCTAATATAGTCCCAGGAAGTTTTAACAGTGAAGTTCCCCTAGTATCCAACGTCTAGTATAGTCTATCTAATTCATTATGTAGTACATGAGGTTTGATGTTCTCAATTACATGAAGTGCTAGCTCTTGAGGCAGAATATCCAGTAGCCTACCTTCATCCCACGAGCCATTTACAATCACATCATATATGTTGTGGACAGATTCATCGCAGTAGAAGTATGGAGGAGTAACAAAGTATAATAATCCTAAGCATGTCCAGTTATCAAACCAAAATAGTGAAAAACCCATCCTTGGTTGCAATATTATTTTGTGTTCAATCTCATCTCTATATTCAAGCATCTTTCTCCACACATGAGATCCCCTTCTCCAAGGAACCACCAATGTATTCAATTATTTGCAATATTTTTGACTCATGAATGCGCTCCACAAAGTTGGCTTTGTTCTAAAGTTCTACCATAGTTTACAAAATAAGGCCTTAGACACATCATATAACGATCTAAATCCAGCCACTCCTTCTTGTGGCAAGCACAATGTATCCCATGATGCCCAATGTTTAGCTCTTCCTCCTACCGAATTACTCCAGAAAAAGCGAGCAAATAATTTATGAAGCTTATTAATAACATAGGATTGAGGGTTCACAGCTGACAACAAATGTATTGGCATGCTTTGAAGCACATGTGAAATCAATACAACCCGGCCATCAATCGATAGAAGTTTACCTTTCCATGATTGAAGCTTGTCAAGTACTTTGTTAACAAGCCCTTGATAGTAGTCCATTTTCCTTCTAGCATAGAATATTGGACAACCTAGGTAAGTGAAAGGAAATTCATGCTTGTCAATTTCAGTCACTCTTTGCACCTTGTTCACAACCTCCACACTTGTTGAATGATGCATATAGATTATTGATTTTGCCTTGTTAATTAATTGTCCAGAAGCTACCTCATATGCATCCAACACCTCCATAATTAGTTGTAATGAAGTAGCATCAGACGATGAGAAGATGATAGTATCATCAGCATACGCTAGATGATTAACCTTAGGACTCCACTTTGGCATTCCAAATCCACAAAAGTATAAGTTTAGATGAAGTAGCTTCATCAGCTAAAATGAATAATATAGGTGATAAGGGGTCCTCTTGCTTCACTCCTTTGGTGGACTTGAAAAATCCATACGGCTGGCCATTAATTAAAACTGAATACCATTTGTTAGACACAATGCCAAACACTACACTAATGAACCTGTCACAAAAGCTCAATTTCCTCAACACTTTAGTTATGGATATCCAGGAAAGCCTATCGTAAGCTTTGGTCATGTCTAATTTCATTACTACATTAGGTCATGCTCTTGTCCTTAACCTAATGTCAGTAACAATTTCTTGAGTTAACAACACATTTTCTACGATGTTCCTTCCTTTAACACAGCCGGCTTGTTCATCTGAGATGAGATTAGGCAATAGAGGAGCAAGCCTTTCATGAATAACTCTTGAAAAAACTTTGTTAACGAAGTTGCTCAAACTAATAGGTCGCATATCAGAAAAAGTAGCAACTTCCTTCTTATTAGGCAATAGCACCAGATTTGTATGAGTAATAAATCTTGATAGTTCATGACCATTAAATAAATGCCTCACCATGTTAAATACATCATCCCCTATTATGTCCCAACAGCTATGGAAAAATTTCCCAGTGAATCCATCTGGTCCTCCAGCACTATCCCCATTTAAGCCAAAGACAACCCTCTTGACTTCATCTTTCATAGGTTGTTTCACCAGTTCTTGATTCTGATCAAATGTTACCATGTTAGAAACATGATCAATGATCCCAAAAGCAGTAGGAATGACATCTTCATGGAATTGATTCTGGAAAAAATTGGCTGCTTCAATTGCCATTTCCTCATTGCCCTCGATCCAGTTACCTTCATTATTCTGAATCCTCTTTAATTGCAATCTTCTTCTCCTACCATTCACTTGTTCATGAAAGAGTTTTGTGTTGCGATCTCCATCCTTAAACCATGACATGCCTGACTTTTGCTTCCAAAATATTTCCTCGAGAGACAAAACTCTGATAAGTTTAGCCTGAACTTTGTTAAGCCTCTCTCTATTAAGCTTTGTTGGATTGATTTCAAACTGTGCTTCATGAACAAGTATCACCTCTTCTAAGCTAGCAATCTTTTGGAAAATATACCCATATGTAGCCCTGCTCCATACCGATAATGCTCGTTTCAACTTCTTCAATTTGTGATTGAAAATTATGAATGAATTACTACTAAAGTCTATCGTTCAGTTTTCCTTCACAACATATTGAAAGGTGTCATGTTCTGTCCAGAAATTAAGGAATCAAAATTGCTTCTTCACAGGTATGAAATCTGGAACACACGTGATTAATAAGGGGCTGTGATCTGATCCTATTTTGGATAAATGAGTAATCTCCACACCTGAGAACATTTGTTGAAACTCTATGTTTGCTAAAACTCTATCCAACCTCTTAAAAATACAATCTTCTTCAGCCCTTCCATTCAACCAAGTGATGATACTACCTTTAAAACCAAGATCATGTAAGTTACATGTAGTTACACAATTCCTAAAATCATCAATCTCATTGAGGTATACTGGTAAGCCTCCAAACTTCTCCTCCTCATCCCAAATCACATTTAAATCACCCCCAACTATCCATGGGGTTGCCATATCAGAAGCCAAAGCATATAATATATCCTACAGTTCAATCCTCTGAATAGCATCGCACTTGGCATAAACTAAGGTAATAATTACCTCCTGTTGAGAATTAAAATTCCACCAGTCTTAAGGTCATCTGCTACTCCATATCAAATATTATTGCGACTTCATAGTCTTCATCCATAAATTCCCAAATTTTATTAGAAATATTTACAAAAGCCTGAGCAAATCCTATCCTTCTTCTGTAGCGCTCCAATTTTCTAGCTTGCTACATTGGCTCCATTAGGCCCACAAATCTGAAGTATTGTTATCTATGCATTGTAATTATCCTTTCAAAGGATTGCTATGTATTCACTGATCTAATGTTACAAATTAATGCATTCATCCTTAATTGGTAGGTTTGGAGAGTGTCCTTCTTGTTTGAACTCCTGTACCAGGAATAGGAACATTAGAAGTTTTTTTTTGTTGCTTCTTCTTACCTCTGCCTGCTGATTTTGCTCTATCCATATGCCTAGGAGATAAGTCACCTTGCTGAGCAACATTTCTAAAAATCTGAGTTGTGGATTCCTCATCCATGTCTCTTCCTTTTCCTTCTCCATTCGCTTCATCATCTACTTCTGGAGATTGTTTAGCTAGCTGAGTTTTAACAGGTTTAGGAACTACTGCCCTGCTAGTAGATTCCTTATTCACATTCTACATCTTGGATGACTGCAGTTCTTTATTTTCCTGTAATTCTTTGCTTTGGTTGCTAGTGATAGGATTGGGGACATTGTTAGGATTAGGATTAGGATTAGAATTTTCTGGGGTGAGAATTTGGTCATTGTGATTGATACTTATATCAAGAATAACTGGTTTAGGACAAATATTTTGCATATCAGGAGGTTTAGGCATCATGTTACTAGCTTCCTCCTACTTATCTCCATTAGCATCTACTCCCATCAGTTCATGATCTTCCTCATCTTCCTCTAAGAACTGAACTCCATCTTCAGACTCCTGATTATCAATATGCCCATCAACTCCCTCATTATCTAGCTCATCATCTGATTGTAATTCCCCTTCTTATTCTGAATCATCCTCTACCTGTTGACTCCATGATCTCCCCATAAGTGGACTTCTTATAGGAAAATTCTTTTCTTTGTTCGACTGATCATCCCTATCAATTTGTTTCCCATATGCTCCTCCTTATTCATTAGTCATACTATCATTAATTCTCTTTGAGATATCATTCTCACTGGTCCTTGAATTGACAGTATCTTCTTGAATGTTCAACGTTTGTGAAGAGAACTCTTTGAATGAAATATTAGTAGTAACATTGTTGCCTCCAAAGGCTCTATTGACCCATTGTGTTGTGGTTTCCTTTAACATTGCTTGTTCTTTTTGATTATTCTTCTAGTTTATACATTCTTTGACAATATCCTTACGAGCTGCAATCCAGGTGAAGAAGGATTATAACTTGGTGCAGCTGGATTCAAGGTTCTCCCAATTTCAGTAAGGTTAGATTTAGTGTTGCGATTGACCTGATTTTGCTCCACCAAAGCTAGCTGATTGTTCTCTTCATTATCATCTGCATCCTCCACCAAAGCAGCAAACGAATTAGTCATTTGAACATCATCAATATGAACAATTTCTTTCCCACTGTTGCCTTGTGCTTCTTCCTGTTTAGCAGGTTTCTTGACATGATTATCTCGCATTTCCTTCCAATGTTCACCAATATTACCAACAACTTTTCCACTTGAAAGGATCATTAAAGGATCCTTATTTTGTTCCTGTTTTCTAGCGTTACCAGTAACTGCCTGCTTCACTTTGTCATTAGACTCCATTAGCTCTGGATGAAGTCGCCAACATTCAAACAGATCATGCCCTTGAATTTTGCATTGCTTACAATAATTGGGCAGAAAATAATAATTGATATTCACCCATTCAGTCCTTATCTCCCATGTAGTCTCATTCTCGATATCCATACGAACCTTCTTAGGTAAATTTGCTAACAGGTCAACTAAGACCTTAGCTCTCGCACAACTAGGCCTAGTTTTGTTAATTTTAGCCATGTCAAGATGCAACGACTTACCCACATCTGAGGCTAATGAAAACAAGCATTCCTTTACAAATAATGTAGGCAGCAAACCTGGAAAGGAGATCCATGCCATAACCATTGGTGTTTTTTCCCCAGCCTTGAATTTTGCATCTTAAATTAGTGGTCGCAACTGATATTCATAACCATCCTTGTCTTTAACATAATAAGCATTTTTTAGATGTAAAGTTAATTATGTCTTCCCATAACGTTAATATTATCAAGACATGTCGATCTCGAAAGAAACCAACACTACGATCTCCTTTGATTCCACATTAACTTGGGATAATTTGACGTAATTCCTGGAGTTCTGGCCAACCATACGATAGCTTTCCAACAACTGCATATTGTAAGCCTTCAATTATGTTCATGCGATCAACCTCAGCTTATGTGAATTTGACAAAGTTTTCCCATTTAAAATAGTGGCTCGTCGTAACTGTATAGGTTCAACAGTAAGTTTTGAAGTGGGGTTCGTTTGCATGGGACTCTTTTGGACGGTAGGTTTCAATATGTTGCTATAATCTAGGGTCTTGGAATTGTTGTTTGTGGTTATATTAGTTGGGGCGAGGGAAGAAGGGGCTGACCCGCCGAAAAATATGACTAGCCGCCGGTCGGAGCTTCCATGGCAGCGCTCAAGCCGCCTGAAATCGCTAGGGTTTAGGGTTTTGCTAGAGAGCATTTTTGAAAGAATATTCATATTCCAGCCCCCGGTATTATTGTAGATCTTTAGTTGCTTATTTTATGTTATTTTTACTGTTGATTTTCTGGTATTAGATCATGTTATCATCTTGTTCCGTATTAGTGATTTTCTTACTTTCCATCTTATATTCGTATTTCATTTTCATACTGCTTATTTATATCCTAGTAGGTATCTTGACTTGGCCTCGTCACTACTCTACTGAGGTTAGGCTTGATACGTACTAGGTACCATTGTGGTGTACTCATACTATGCTTCTGCACATTCTTGGCGCAGATCCAGGTACATCAGCTCGTGTCGGTCGATAGAGACTTCCTGCTAGCTGCTTTTACCAGAGACTTCAAGGTATGCCTTCTCGGCGTCCGCAGGCCTCGGAGTCCCCTTACCTTATTCTCAGTTACTGTTGTATTTTCTCGCAAACAGTGATGTCAGATGTTTAATTATTACATAGTGCTTATGACTCTGTGCCACAGTTCTTGGAGATTGTATGGTTGAGATCTTGCTTTTTAGTAGTTATATGAGTTTATCAAACTGGGTTGAGTAATTGGTATTTACGTCTGTTGATTTGCTGTCAAATATTAGACTTACCTAGTCGTAGAGACTAGGTGCCATCACGACTT